TTTTTTCAAATAAAGCCAAGGTAACACTCATTTTACATACAGCACACAGAGAAAATGACATGAATATGACAGTGGGCAAATGCATAAAGCGCAGCATAATTTGAAATCACGAGTTTACGATCGCGCGTCTTCAGTGAAGCTGAACTCTCCTCCTGTCCGCATTCAATTTGCACGGATCGACCGTCACGCAGAGAACACGCGATCATGCACACTTCACAAGATCTCACAACTGGATCCGACTAAGTTTGCAAGCTTTGTGAAATTAAATGTTCACTAGTCATTCAAAGATTTGTTTAAATGATATAAATGCGTATTTGCTGAATGCTGACGGAAAACGAGAAAGTATTATAATGTTTGCCTTTCTATATCTAATAATATAAAAGCAATCGTTGTAATACTTTTTTGTATACATTTTAATTCCTTTGTTTAACAGTTCTTTCTGATTATTAGACAGACTTCTATCCGTATTAGACAGAACTGTTAAGGACGACAGCAAACAAGGAGAATGTGAACACTGTGTGCGTCAAAATAAAAGTCCCGCCTCGAACGCATCGGCCAAACAGAAAAAACTTATTTATAAGTTTTAAATCGATATATCGGTCGACCACTAGTGTGCAGACACATAGATTCATGACTCACTTCTAATGAACTGCACTGGGTTAAGTGTTGATGCCAGACTCTTTGATATGTATATTACAAAATTTAGCATCTCCACAGACAGCTGCAAGAAGTACTGGACCTCCCAGTCCTGGTGTGCTTGACCATGCAAGCAAAGCATTTACTCTGAATGTCCCACATAACTACTCAATATTAAAATCACATCTTTTGTGTTTTTAAAGATTTCCCATCATGTTTGGCATGAAGGCACCTGTTCTAAATACATATAACTGTTCTAACAAGGCTAATGTCTTCCACCTGTGAAACCCATTTTAGGTGTGATCTTTCAATTTCCATTAAAAACACAATCACTGTTAAAGCAAGAAACTAAAATACATTTTTAACATTCCTGACCTGTTTTTTCTTGAAAGTAATCTCTAATCTGATTCAGCTGGCCTCTTCTGGTACATCACAGAAGCTCTGACTCACTATTTTGCATATGGTGATTTGGTTTTTAGGCCACCAGCATACAGATGTGTTTGCCAACACAGTTGAATAAAAATCTATCCCTTTTCAATCACAATTAGACCAGGAATGTGAATTTAAGTAAACAGATTCAATTTTGATGTCCTGTTGAGTAGACATATTAATGGCTTAAAAACAGAGCTCAACACACTCCGCTAAATTGATGGATGTCTCTCATTAAAGAGTGAATTGTAAATCATCATGACACCATTCATACTTTATCTTGAGAGGTGAGGAGTGTCTTGGTTTTTGTATAGTAAGATAGGATGAGAGTGAGATAACAGTCCATCATGATGCCTGAATGTCTGTCCTGATAAAAGAGCTGACAGAGAAGCTGACAAAAGCTAAAACCCTAAAGGGACAAGACAAAAGAGCAGAAGACTCTAGGTTCATGTGCCTATTAAGGATTGTAATGGGACATGAAACAATATGGCAGAATTTAAACAGTTACCAGGAAAAGGTTTGGACTTGTATGATAATTGAGGAGAGATACTGAAGAGAGGGACAGATGGGTGCTTTTCTCCATTTCGATTTTGCTCTGAAACTGGCCTTTACGACCACATCAAACAGGAGACGTTTCAGATGTGCGCTCCAACTTCACTTAAGCGGCAGGCACGAGTCAAACGAGCACGGAAATGGTACTGTGCTTGCAGTGCGTGCTCTTCAATTGCACCGACGCACGCTGTACCCTGTATGTACTACGTGCATGCAATATCGAGGTCAGTTAAGCCATGAAGTTACCAAAAAGGCGATTAAAGCTGCCTTAAAACTGTGCATGCATGTATTATGTTTTATATGAGTCACAAACCTGAAATGGTTTTCCAAACTGTCCTGGAGCAGCCCAGCAGTGTCTCCCTCATCTAACACACCTGATTCAACCCGTCAGTTCATTAGTAGAGACTTTAAGACCTGAAGTGGGTCAGAAAAGCTAAAGAGATTTGAGAGAAAATACGATGCGTGTCAGATCCGAGTCATGTTCAGCAGCGGCATCTCTTAAAGAAATAGCAGCCAAATAACCTAATAACCAGCTGCTGTGATGTCTGTTAATCAAAGGGGGAAAAAGAAAAGAAAAAAGGGGAAATCAATAACTTTTATAGCTTTAAGGATTCATCTATATTTAATTTAGAATTTCATGTTTGATAACTTTATTTACTTTCTATATATTTCTGCTGAAGGGCTCAGGTAAATATGACAGCACGCTGCATTGAGCAGCCGCATTCAGTTTTTAATTGTAGTGTCTGTTCTTTTACTGAACTAAATGATTTTTATTACTATAAAAAATCAAAACGACACCGTCGGTGACGCGGTGGGCAAGTGACGTAACCGGTGTTGCGGCTTAAACATAGATGATACCGTGTTGACGAAACACGAAATCATAACCACACAAAAATATACAACCAACCCCTTGTTCAACGATGGTCGGAAACACCCACGACCCTAACCATGAGCCCTAACCATTTACTCCAGAGCAGAACTCCTACATCCCAGAATGGTCATAAAATACCAAATGCAATCTCACGTCAACACAAAATGAAACTGAAAACATAAACCCTGTAAAACAGCTCAGCTTTTTTATGGGAGGCAATGTCTAAGCTAACCAATCTCAGCTCTGATGGCCAGGCCTGCTGTAGCTCCTCATCGAAAGCCTGACTTATAACATATGCTGCACTTTCCGATTTGAAAAAGGACACTGGCAGAAAGGTTGGAAACTTGACAGGAGCTTGTCCACGCAGGCCAGGAGGGCAGAGCGATAGTAACGGATTTCCATTCCCTGTCCCATTCCACGAGTGTTGCTGATAGTGAAAATGGTGCAACATTGGCACGCTGGTGCACAACGCATGCCAGGAAAGGACAACAGGAAGGAAGTTTGACAATTGATTGG